TCCTCAAACTCTGAATATGCAAGTGGTGCTATTTTATTTTTCGCAGCTGTATATCATAGTTGAACTATAGCTCTTATAGCTAAGCTTTAAGCGTCTTCTCTTCAGCTAATCATTTACAGAATTTATTCAAGTGTTTCTCACTCTCTTAGAAAGGAAATTACATTGAGTAAAGCGTATCAGAACTTATTTGGATTGCTCTTCTTTTTATCTAGAGGTTCTTGGACAGGGCTCTCTTTCTATCAGTCCTTTCTATCTCTCTCTCTCTATCATTTAAAGTCGAAAGTTCACATTTCACATCATTTAAATTTATTTAACTAACTTTCCAGCAATGTTCAGCTCTCTCTACCAGTTGTCAATCGAACCATTAGATAAATCGAATAAGAAATTCCAATCAGAATATACACAAAATTCGCAATGAATTTCGTCTAGAGCATTCGGCATTCGTTTGGCAACTGCCTTGCAGCTGCAGCTGCAGCTGCGCTCGCCCACAGCCACTGAGGAGCAACAAAAGGCGAACAATGCGAATGCAACATTTAAAACCTACAATAAAATGCAATGCAAATAAAATGTGCCGCTGACACGGCTGAGGGCAGGCGAAACTAGAAAAATAAAACACAGCAAACCAATGCATATATACATATATTTAATAGAAAGAGATAGAGGAGAGAGAGAGAGGGAGAGGGAGAGATAGTGGGAGATAGGTGAACGTAAAAAATTGCGCTGGCAACATGAAATTGGCTGGTTGCTCGGGTCATATATTTCTACATATATAGACAATCTCGATGTTGTTTGCGCTATTCGACTATCCGGCATTTGGGTATTCGGTGTACAATTTGGGCTATTGTTGGGCCCGTAGCACTCTGATTGTCGCCGTCGTGCTACGCAACATGCAACAACTATTAATCATATTGAATGGCTTCTGTTTCTGGCGATGGCGATGGCGATGCCTGTGGCTGGGCCTGGGCCTGACTGTGTCATCCTGGCTAATCAATCTTTACCGTGTGCCGTCTCTAATGGCACTGACAACGACAAAGGCCATCTCTCTGCCAGCCCCCACGTCCGCCTATCTCCCAGCCCATCCCCCCCATAGAAGAAAAATGGCCGATAAAGTCATTAACGCCTGGCTGGCCACCTGCCCTGGGTTATGCTTCGGCTTGCTATTGTTGTTGTTGTTGTTGTTGCCGCTGCTGATCCGGACACGGATACGGCTACACACACACAAGTAGCTGGCCGTCTGAGCCGACGGGGGCCAGTTGCTACTATTTTGTTTATGGGCGAACGGCGCAAATCTCTTTGCCAAGCCGCTGCTCAATGAGGCGGCAGGCAAAAGCCAAAAGGGGATTAGTTGTAATCAATAACTTGGCCCAAGCGAGCAGCGGGGCTGCTCAGCCGCCAGCTCCAGTTCTCCAGTTCTGTTGTTTGCCTGTCGAAAGTTTTGCCAATGCGCCGACGCTCCCCTCCCCCCTCAAACCTGAGCCCTTTGTGCGCCAAGTTATTATTATAATTTTCTTTTTTTTGTTCTCTTTCTTTCTTGCTTCTTCTGCTTCTTCTTCTTTTTTTTTGCAAATGCGGATTAATTGAAAAGTTTGCCATTAGCAATTCGCGCTTGGTTAAGTTGCTTCGCCTTTGTTTCAATAGAGAGAGAGAGAGAGAGGGAGTGAGAGAGGGAGAGGGAGAGGGAGAGCCATTGCCTCTTGCCACCTAGGCAATATCTTTGGCTAGGTGTTTCAACTATTTGATCGTTATGGATTTTGACAGCTTCATTCGCAGTTATGATGAAAATTACTTAAAAGCATTTTGCGCAGCGCTGATTTGATTGATGGGCGTTTATGTGGCATGAATGGTGGCAACGCTGCCAGCTGGAATGGGAGCCCGTGCTTGTGCCTGTGGCAGTGCTGCAAGTTCGCCGGCGTCGTCATTATATTCGCATTATCGAGTGACGTGGGCGCGGGCGCAATGAGCCATCGCAAATGCCAGTTGACGTGCCGGCGGTTTGAAGAGCTGACAAAAAGTTGCGCCAATTTGTGTCAATTATCAGGAGGCTGCCCCCCACCCCAGTCCACCCAAATGCTGATGCAGCCCACTCATCAGCTTTTCACCTGGCCGCTGAGTGAAGTTTCCAAATCCGCTGAGAGTTTTTGCCGAATGTGGGGCAGCATTAAATGACAAAACAATGAATATTCCCAGCAAAAAAGAGACCGAGAGAGAGCCAGAGAGAGAGAGAGAGGGAACAAATTGCGGCTTTGTGCGCGTAAATTTCGTTGAGCACAGCGAGTTTTCCATTCTCCATTTCATAATGTAAATTTGTTGTTGTTTTCTGTTCTTGTTTGGCTCGCCGAAAAAAATGCGCGCAGTGATAGATGCCATTCTCTTTTTTTACGGTGGCTAACAGCCAATTTAAAAGTACAAAGCAATTATAAAAGTTGATTAACGTCAAAATGTTGCCATCAAATATTTAATTGAAGTTTCAAAAGCGCATGAAAACTTTTAGCATCGTTTGTTGTGTGCTCAACATGAGCTTGTGGTAAGGACTTAAGCTGAAAGTGCAGAAGCCAACAGGCTTGGGAATATGGTTAAAAGCTTATTAAAGCTTGCAAAGCACATGCGATGCTTAAGATTGAAGTGGAAGCTTAAGCTTTAAGTTTTATAGTGCAAGAGCTTTGCGATGTGAAAGCATAGCTTAAACTGAAAGCTGCAAAGCACATTGAAACTGTAGCTGAAGATCTTTAAATATAAATATCTGTGATAAATGGACTCTATATATAAGTATATTTGAAAGCTGCTCTTTAAGTAAAACAAACTCTAAATAGAATCAGAAGCTTACGCATTTGAATCTCTAATGAAATCTCCCACAATTTTAATTACTTTGCGTATAAGTACAGTCCATTGGAAGAGACAGCTTTAAGTCTCTGTTGCCATCCTATTTAATCCTTGTATTTAAACGACAATCTTAAGCAAATCTTGATGCAGCTCTTGCACAATTTCCTGCAAGCCATTTGGCAGAGTTCGTTTGTTTAGGCTTATCCTCGTTAAAGATTTATGCTTAAGCATGCACGCAGAGCTCTGCTGGATAAGGCGTAAGCAAACATTATGCATATCGTTAATGAAATCCAGTCTCAGCTGAGCCTCTCACATACAATGCCCGCTGCTGCAGTCTGAAGCATCTAGTCGCTCATTAAAATCGAAGAGCGTCGAAACAAATCGATTTTCGTTTAGTATCGCAATCAGGAACACAACAAATTTGGTTGTTGTTGTTGTTGTTGTTGTAGTCGTGCTAAAAATTTGTTTTGTGCGCTATAACAAGAACGGGCCATGCCTCAGCACACCTGCCTATAGCTGCCAGGCTGCCTCACTGAATGGAGAACTTAAAGAGCACTCGAACAGCACTCAGCCACAAACACACACGCACACAGAGAGAGAGAGAGAGGGTGTGTGTGTGTGTGTGAGCTGCTGTTTAAGTGGAGTTTGCTTTGGCTGCAGAGCGTTTTTTTTTTTGGATAAATTGTTTTGAGTGAAGGGTTAGAGTAGGCGCTGCACCGTCTGTGCCTTGCAGTACTTGTCAAGATTGAATTTGCCACGAATATATGCATATACATATACCTTTATACATACATACATATATTTTTTCTTTCTCTTTTTTGGCATTTTTATTGATCAAACAAACGCTGGCAAGTGGCAGCCAGTGAAGGTGTCATTGCTCAGCACTTGCATATATATACAATGTACATACATACATATATATATATATATATATGTATATATCTGAGTTCCTTGGAGGCAACACGCGCAGTGCGCATAAATTGCATGATTCGTTTTTGGGCAACTGTCATTCGGATTTTTCATTTTCATTATTATTATTTGGCAAGTTGGCAGACATTGCTTTATTGCCGCTGCTACAAAAGAACTAGTTCGCTTATATTTATTCAGTTTTTTCGGTTTTTTTTCTCTCATTTCACTTTAATGGGTTTTACTTACCGGACCAAACTGTTCAAAGTAGCTTTTGACGTCCTCTAGCGTGGTGGGCGCCGAGAGGCCGCCCACAAAGATTTTCTTCGTTCTCGTCACCATCTGCAACAAAATAGAGAGGGAGAGAGAGAATGAGCGAGTGAGATAGAAATTGTGATAAAGTATCAGCATAAATGAACGAACGAATGAGCGCGTAAAGCGCAAGTGGCAAATGCTGCTTAATTTAGCCGTAGCCCGGCATTTAAAAATGCATTTATGGTAGCTGGCTGAGGCGTGCCGGGTAGGAAATCGGATCAGCAGTGAGACCCAAGGGGGAGGGGGGGAGCGTGGTGCGGTGCTCCATGTTAGCCAAAGTTATGGCCCGCCAGACTGCGCGGAGCCCTAAGAGTCGCTGCTTCTGTAACTTACGGCAACAACTTTCGCTATGCGTCGACCATTTTGTGCACTTTATGTAGTAGCCGCACATGTGTGTGTCTGTGTCTGTGTGTGTGTGTGTCTGTGTGTGTGTCTGTGTGCAGCTGGCATATTTAAGCTGACAGTTTCAAGTGCCAACTTTACGCAGTTAGCGCAACAGCAGCACCAAAAATGATGGCGCTCTCTGTCTCTATACGTGTGTGTGTGTGAGTGTGTGTGTGTGTGTGCATGTGTGTGTATTGCAACGCCAGCCTTTTTAGCCCGCAGGCAAGCGTAAACTGTTAACGTTAAGTGACGGCAGTTAAGCGACAGTGGAGCAAACGATTCGCCAGCCAGTTCCGCGAACTGGTTCATTTGCGGAACAGCTAGCATCTCCAAGGTGCTGCATTCAGAGCTCTTTGTAATTCATAGAGAGCTAGTTCCAGGAAATGTTTGCTTATTTACTGCAAGCAATTAAAACTTTTTTAAAACATTTACTCATATTTTTTGTTGAATTCCATTCATAAACTATAAAAATTAATTAACAAATTTTAGTTAACATTTTAAAATGTTCTTCAAACTCTATACTATTTAGTTCAGTTTCAGGAACTGATTAATTTTGCATAGCAATTTTATTTTAGTTAGAAAAATTGGTTAAACCAATTAATTAATTAATTAATTGATTACGGCTCAGTTTATTATTTGATTTAATTTCTGCTCAATTTTTTTTTTAAATAATTATAAGGCTCGCTGTGAGCTCGTTCCAGGAACTGATTCATTTTGCGAAACAGCAAGAGATGTGGGCAACTTTTTTATTGCCCATTTTTTTCGTGATATTTAAGTTGAATACGGGTTCAAGAACTAGTTCCATTGCTAGTTCCCTACTAAAAGAGCTCAAAAACTATTTCTAATTTTGCATTCTACTTAAATTTCAGCTCTAGCTCACGAACTACATCTATTCCCGTACTCTAGAACTAGTTATCTTCCAGCATTTTACTTAAATTCAATCTCTAGTTCAAGAACTAGTTCTATTCCTGGTCAAACCTACTCACTGTTCTCTACCAATTTGTTCGGTTCAATTAGAATCAAGTTCAATTGATAATGAATCGAATGATTCACTTGATGAACTCTATAGTTAAGACGGGGTTCGTTAAACATTTCTCCCCCTGCCACTTTCGGTTGGTTGCGAAATTCGTGCGGTTTTTAAACACATTTTATACCATTTTTATACCCTGAACCCATTGAAAATGGGAAATCAGGGTATAATGGTTTTGTT